CTTTATTTATGATTTATAATTGAATTTAATTTAAAATAATAATAATTATATAGATCTAAATCTTAATTTATTAAAAAAATTTGTTTATAATATTTTCATTTTTTGACACATAAAATGCATGCTTGACTATTTTTATTAATCATTTCAATTCATTTTAGAAAGATAAAAATATAAAAAATTAATAAGTACACAAAGTCTGAAATGGATTTAAGAAAAAAAAATAAGGAAAGAAAATGCATGCAGCTAACAATCATGCGGTTTCTTTCACATGTAACTTTTTGAAATCAATGCTACTATAAGAGTATGCATTTGTTCATATAGGAATCTGCTTTTATATTGTTCATCCTATGAGATGCTTCATTTGGTGGCTAAGTTTGCTAAATGAAACTTAGCAACTGATAATAACAATTCTTGTTTCTGTTATTGTGTAACATTGAAGTTTAAACATTTTTACAAAATAACTTCAGTTTTTTAGTCCTCTCTGTACATCACTTCCCCGCAACTACTTACAACTTTCCTTAGTTACATTTTTTTGACCACTTTTGTCAAGTACATGTGAAAAATGACATGCTAAAAACATGATGTGTGTAAATCGATGTTGCACCTTTTATAAAGAAGTCAAAAATAACTCGAGTTTTTCAATCCTCTCCGTCCATCACTTCCCTACAACTGCTTAACAATTTCCTTAGTTACCTTTTTTTTACCACATTTATCAAGTACATGTGGAAAATGACATGCAAAAAACATGATGTGTGTAAATCGATGTTGCACCTTTTATAAAGATTTTCAATCCTCTCCGTCAATCACTTCCCTGTAACTGCTTACAAGTTTCCTTAGTTACATTTTCTTGACCACATTTGTCAAGTACATGTAGAAATTGACATGCAATAGATATGATGTATGATATGCTAATATGTAATGCAAGAGTGGTAGAATTTCTAAATAAAATAATAATCCATGAATAAGATAGTTGTAGAAATTTTAAAATAGAAAAATAGTATGGAAATATCATCATGTAATATGTGGATAGGAATCTCTTTCCTAATTTTTTTACAATTGCTTATGGTTCCTCAATTACACTTTTATGAAAAAAATTCCTTACACCCAAGTCGAATAGGTAAACTCATCACAATCAATTCAATTGCATCCTCACTATGACTTCAAAAATTAGTTTTGCGCTTAGCTTTACATGTTACCTTATAAATTTAAGAGATTATGTGGTGGTTGAGCACATTAGTGTACTTTTTGTGATATGAATCTTTAATCCTACTTAATGTATATGATTTATTACATCAATTTTGCATCTAATTTCATGGCTTAGTAATCTTCTAAGAATTTTCTGGCATAATTTCCAATATTATTACTGAAGTGAATAACTCCTTATCCATAAGAAAAGAATAAATAACTAAATATTACTTGAAGTTGTGCAGAGAAAACCTACCATTTTTTATTTTTTCTATACAGTTATGCAGTTTTTTTGTTTCTTTACTCATGTTACAAATGTAAAATCAATGTAGTTCTGCCTTTAAAAGGTCTAATAGACCTTTGAAGTTTGAAGTTTATTTTGCTTCAATAACATCTGAAGGTTGATCTTCATATTTTTTGCTTTCTAGAGAAAAGATATTCACATGGTTCTTTTTTCTTGCTTTTTATTGTCTACAGTCATATGAGCTATAATATTTTTGAGAGATTGAAATAAATAGAAACATATATAAATATTGCTTCTATGTTTGGCATTTCTCAACATGACTTTCCATTGTTGTTTGTCAAGTGTTAATGAATATTTTTTTATCATTGTATTCGAATTTTACAACAAGTTGCCTGTTATTGTCGTTGTTGTTGGTTTTTTTTTTTTTTTTTTGCATTTATTATATATTAATGTGTTTTTGCCTCCTTCTCTTCCTTTCAATTT